GAACCAAGCGCCCCCGACGTTCTGCCAGAGCTTTCCTGGCAGTGAAACACAGTAAATGAATTGATGCTAAAATGTAGTGCTCCACTCAGGCAGTCTGGACTGCTTTTAAATATGAATTTATTTGTTTTTGATTAACTAAGCTCTCATTTACTGTGAGCTTTGTTCCATTAAAAAACCATATAGTTCTTTTGCTTTTTGGTGACTCTTAAGTTAACATTTGTCACAATGTCTCTGTGCTGGAATGGATTCATCTACATTTTTAGGTTATTTAATAGATATAATGTGCTTTAAATAAAACACAAGGGTTCAGCGGATTGGGTAATTTCCAGGTGAAGACCTATTAGAGTTGTTACATCCTGCATTTCTAATCCTGAGCTTCTACAGGATCTTGTTGGTCTCTGTAGACTTCTAACTGGTAAATGGCCTGTATGTTATGTAGCCCCTTAGGGTTCAACAACCCCAGCTGCCCTAGGGCGCACTCATGGAGGCAACTCTGCCGCCACCAGTCCCTCTGACCACCAACAGCAGGCAGGATGGGTTAAGTGTCTTGCCCAAGGACACAGCGGCAGCAATCTCTGGTGGGAGCCAGGGTTGAACCTACAACTCTCTGATTCCTGGACAACCTGCTCTACCTCCTAAGCTACTGCTGCCCATATCTTCTCAGATATTACAGATGTTATGATGTGCCTCTTATTAAGTTAGTCTCTAAGCCTGGGCTTAGGAGTCCCGGTCCCTCAAGGACCACTATCCTGCATGTTTTTGTTGTTTTCCTGCTGTTGCTCACCCAACTGTAATCAGCAGGTGATCAACAGGCTTCTGCAGAGCCTGGTGAGCTGCTGAATCAGGAGTGGTGGAGCAGAGAAACAACTAAAACCTGCTGGATACGGGCCCTCCACGACCAGGGCTCCCCATCCCACTGGGAAAACAGAGGACGATATGGAGACTGAATGCCAGTGCCTTAAAGCTCAGGTGTCAAACTCAAGCCCTCGTGCCAAATTTGGCCCACAAGATCAAATATAACATACCGTAAATCCTCTAATACAGGCCCGGGCCTGTATTTGACTCAAGCTCATCAAGCTCCAGGCCTTTATTGGAAGGAGGGCCAGTATTAGAGGCAGGCCTCTATTTCTATTTGAGCAAAATGAACTAATGGTTCACTGGAGTTTTTGACAATTAAAATTGCACCCACATTTTCAAAGTTAAACACATTTGTTTTAACAACTGTAGTTTCTGCTTCAGCCCTCTCCCCCCTCCCCCTGCTTCAGCCCTCTCCCCCCTCCCCCTGCTTCAGCCCCCTCCCCCCTCCCCCTCCCGCGCAGCGGCCACAAACTCACTGATGCGCCTGCAGCCTTTCGGAGTTCCTGCTGCTCTAAACATTAAAATAATTATTTCATTTTCTGTTCCTCACTTCTGATTACCTTCAATGGTGTCTGTTTGTTGCAACCAGCAGGTACAAAAACTAACTTGTTTTTATTTGACTATTTTTCTGTCCTGCCTGTTTATTATCTTCCTGCATCTCCTCTCAATCCTAAAGAGAAACTGCTACCTGGGTTCATATATATTCACCTCATGAGTTACCTTTGAACTGCAGTTCTAAAAGATCTACCGACCGCAAAAACAGTGGAGCGCTCCCTGTTTGGCTGCCGTATCATACAGTCCGAGCAATAAACGCGGAAGTTAGATCCAAACACCCGTTGTGTGGGAGAAGCATCGAAATGAACTGTTTAATCTGCCCATCATTTGTGTTGAGAGATCAGCAGTGTTTGGATCAACAAAGGGCGACTACTTTGATAGTAGAAACTGTATTTATGGCTTATTTTTGTGCATTTAAAGTTCAGCCGCCACTGATAGTTGTTAAAAGTTGTTAAACCTGTGCATATGAAACAAAAAAACGCCTTTTGTTTATCGATTTATTGTGAAAAAAGGAAGTTGTGCTTGCTCCTTTTCCTGTTGGGCAGTTGTGATTTCTGTCCATTGACTGCGGAGGTGCTCCGGCGAAAATAGGATCGATTCTATTTTTGCCGGACGCCGGAACAGAGGGCGGCGCACTGCCGGAGCACGGCCGCAGTAGTAGAATTGCTCTGATTGACTACAACGGGACCGATTTTGCTCCGGCGTTTGTGTCGGAGCGGAGCGGAGCGGAGGTAGTGGAATTTGCGTCGGAGGACAAGGTGATGCGCGCAGCGCCCCGCTCCACAGCATGCAGCAAAACGCATCAGGCGCAAATAAAAGACAGAAAACATTAAAGGAAATGAACCGACATGAACGATCGTGTGTTAAATTAGTTTTTGAGGTGGCGACACCTGATTGTGGCCGTGCTCAGGAGGCAGATCTACCGACCGCGAAAACAGCGGAGCTCTCCCTGCTTCGCAGCCGCATCAGTGATCTGTGAGTCGGAGGACAAGGTGATGTGCCCCGCTCCACAGCAGCGATACACATCAGGCGCAAATAAAAGACAGAAAACATTAAAGGAAATGAACCGACATGAACGATCGCGTGTCGGTACCTACGCTCTGACACAGCGCGTTGCCCCCCCGAGCGCAGGAGCTTGTCACCTGCTGATAGCAGGCTGCTGTCTTTTCCGAGGGCTGCATCTTGCCGGTCATTATCACGTGACAGCGACTAGTCGACGACAGGCATAAAAAGTCACTATAGTGAAGTCGACTAGTTCATACACCCCCTACTGCTGCTCTCCAGAGTGTTCTGCAGCATAATCAGCACGTTCTCTTTGAACTTGATAGTGTAATGACCTGGCTGGGGTTATAAGCCAGGTGCATTCTGGGTATTGTGTTATATGTGTTTCCCATCGTTCTGCTAGTTCCTATGTGCTGATTTGCGTGTTGTGTGAGTGTTATGTAAGCCACAGGGAAGGTGATGTGTGTTCTGTGGAGGGGTTGAATTAGCATGGTTAACTGACACCGTGACTCTGTGTGGTAGGAGCGTGATAGAGGATCGTGTCTGTAGCGTTGAAGAAAAAGCCTAATAAAGGTCTGTGTGAACCTCTACTGCCTCCTGCTGGTTGATTTGGGGACTATAGCCCTGCCGCTGAGACGCTCGTATTTACGTGTTACTACATTCCACCCGGCCACAATAAGAGACCGGCCATTATTCACCTCCGCTGGCTCCGACACCGGCCAATATTGGAGACCCGGCCTTTAATTGAATACCGGCCTGTATTAGAGGATTTACGGTATGTATTACAGCTGGCCCGCCAGCCCATTTGGCTGCAAAGACTACACACAATGCAACACACACATGAAGGTCTGGACAGAGTGGAGACACGGACCAACAACAGCTTCTGAGTAGCAGCTCGATGAAAACAACTATTTCCTCTTTGGACTGAAAGGTGCTGCAGCTGGAATCAGTTACTGTAACTTACAGAACTGGTTGTGTGTTGGGTTGTTGTGCTTTCTGAGGAGATGGATGTGAAAGAAGTGGCTTTGAGAACCTTCCAGCTGGTCTTAAATGCTCCAGTAAGGATCTGATTGGATGGATCAGCAGCTCTTTATTGGCCTCCTACAAAATCTAGAATATTAGTTGAAGAGACCAAACAATCTGGCTATATTTTCCATCTGCAGGTTTACCGGTAATTCTTCAAATAATAACAATTTAATGAATTCAATAATCGTGTTAGTGAGGGACCCTATGTTATCTGCTCAACAGCTTTTTAAATTTAAAATAATTACTTTTAAAAACAAAGACATTCAATAGGTTTTACCTGTCGAAATAAACATTTTCAAATCTACATCACTTTATTTTAGCGCATTCTCTACAGAGCAGTGATTCCAGCAGTATCCTGTAGTTTAGTCACCCAGTCAAAGCAAATACTGTATCTGATGACACCGAATTAGGTAATCATGTAAAACAATACCAAACACATGAATGAGAAGCGAAACTCCTTCAAAAACCAAAGTGCAGCTGCTTTCTTTCACCCCCTGTAGAACCTTCACCGGCAACCCAGAAAAGGAAGGTTAAGGTTAAATTACTGCTGTTCGTTGTCCATCTAGGGCCAAACAGGCCGTGTAGGTGCAAAAAGTCAGTTTTGTTTCTAGAAAATACGCAAAGGCTTTGACCCGACCGACTGGGGTGAAGGATGGAGCAGCTGCAGCTCAGGGTGTAGAGCAGGTTGTCCAGGAATCAGATGGTTGTAGGATCCATCCCATCCCCCTGCAGAGAGTTCTGCTGTTGTGTCCTTGGACAAGACACTCCACCCTCCTGGCCTACTGGTGGTGGTCGGAGTTACCGGTGGCGCCTGGTTTAGGGTTAGGTTACAATGTAGCTCGTCACCACCTGGGTGTGAATGGATGAATGGTTCACCGTAGTGTAAAGCTCTTTGGAGTCGTCAGACTCAGAAAGGCGATGTGGAAGTGTCCGTCGCCTCGTTTTTAGAAAAAACTCCATCCACACGTAACCACATAAGTGCGTCTAGCTCATTCTTAAGCACACCAGACCTGTAGGTGCCAGTAGCTTTTCATCATAGATCGTGACGTAGTGAAACCTAAAGCTCTGGTTATTACTGTCCACACAGAGAAAACGCAAATCGTCCCATTGGCCAGAGTTTTTAAAAAGATTTGTTTTCACTGCATAAATCTGCATTTACGTGTGGACGACAAGCCGAATCGTAGAAAAAATCTCGGTATTGGGCGATACCCGGCTACGTGTGGACAGGCCCTCAGTTTAAAGATTTTCTTTCCATAATGTTTCCACATTTTGTAGCTGTCTAACTCACCCCTACTGGACTTCACATGAATAATTACTTCTCTGTAACAAGAAGTATAAAGAACTATCTGGGAAGCGAGTCTCAGTTACTTCCCAGCTCAGGGAAAATGCTAACAAAAAGCTGGTAAAACCTACGGTAATTACGCCAAAGCAATAATGGAATAATAGACTTTGTGCCCGTGCTGAGTTTGGATCTTTTTGATTTTACAGCTATACTCATGTCAACCAGTTCCTTAAAAGGCTCTTTGCATTGAGTTTGACCTAGACGCTGTTTCTACCAGGCAACATCCGAAACACGGAGAAGCTGAGCTACGACCGCCAGCAGGAGTACGAGATCCAGGTGACGACCTGGGACTGTGGACAGAAGAGAGCCTTGCACAGCGTCCCAGTGCACATCAACGTCAAACCCGTCTGCAAACCTGGCTGGCAAGGTTAGCTTTATCACACACACACTCACGGAGATTAACCGCCTGCATTAACTTTCACCATTTTATGGCTCAGATGTTCCCCCTGTAATTGATGGGTTGCCAGTTCAAACCCAAGCTCCATCCAGGTTGGCTGTTTTGTCCTCTGGGCATGGCTGTGGCTATGAAGTAGTGTGTGTGAGTGATTGTAGTGTAGAGTGCTTTAGAGTCTCTGACTTTTTATACATATATCGTCCTAAGGTTTGAGTGAGTGTGTGGGAGGTTGCTCATATATGTCTCTGTGATGGACTGGAGACCTGTCCAGGGTGTCCCCCGCCTCATCCCTAAGGAGGTGGGCACCAGCTCCTCTGACCCTACTAAAATCTAGATGAGTGAAAGAGTAAAAAGTGCAAAGTGGAAAAGATTTTGTTCCCAACTAGAGCAAAGAAAAGCAAGTGTGTTTGGGGGTTTGATTGGACCAGCACCCCTGTAGGAGTCACGTTAGCCGTAACAAGGTCCAGATTCATTCAGACCATGAAACTGAAACAACAATCCTGATGTTTGTCATTGACAGTTTCAGATGTAATTAGACACAAAAGCCTGGCAGTGCGCGTCTCCAGATTAAACTGTGCAATCTGCAGTATTCTGTCACTGAAATTGTCCCATATGTGCTCGTTGGCATCCAGCCCTTCATGCTCCCGTGGGACTGAATGCTGAACAGCAGTAATTTAGGATCCTGGCAGCAGTTTAATGTCATTTATTGATACCTTCAAAGAACTGTTTAGTTGTTTGGCTCGCGATCAATCCTCCAATCTGTTTTCCCAAACAAGTGGCAGCACAAGCTGTGTCTTGAATACATTTCCATGTTTGAAATCTGAATAAGGGGGAATAAAGTCAGGCAAAGATCCATTTATGTTGCCTCAAGAAGACAAATGATTTGGGAAATGTCTTTTTAACGTTCAGCACTTTTTACAATAAGGTCTTGCGGTTTTCTTCTGGGCGCTGACTTATTAGCAGGCTTGGAGGTGAATTTGAGATTTAAAGGAATTCACTCACATACATGTTTTCTTTTCTTTAGCATGAAAACGGGCAGCCAGGCTGCAAAACACAGATCTGACAGGGATGCGTGTGGCGTCGTCCTAGTTGGTGGCCTAGAGGCCTAGACAGACTGTAGCAGGAGCATTTTGGTCTAGCCACGCTCCATTAGAACCTCAGCAGCCCAGACCAGTATTGGGACTGGCCAATCACATTGGTTTGGTGGGCAGAATGTTGCTGTGACTGAGAAAAACTGAGGTGGCGACAGCTTGTTTGAAACGACTTTGGCATCAGCTATTTAGACTTGGGCTTTTCTTTGAGTCCAGAGCAGATAGAGGTACTTTGATCCTTTAGTCATCGGTCCTGAGACCCAGACGGAGATACTTTTACCAAAGCTACAGTCACTAACTCTTGATCCGTCTTCTCAGGTGAAGAACCTGGGTGTGATTTTTGACTCTGAGCTAACTTTTATCCTCCACATTAAGATCATTACAAAAATAGGTTTGTATCACCTGAAAAACATCGCCAGAGTCTGCCCCTTTCTCTCTCTGGGCGATACAGAGACGCTGATGCATGCTTTTATCACCAGTAGAAGCGATTACTGCAATGCCCTGCTATCTGGTCGTCCCAAAAAGAGTACCTCACAGTTACAACATCTACAAAATTCAGCAGCTCGTGCCCTGGCGAAGACCAGGAGGCAGGAGCACATTACACCTGTCTTAAGCTGCACTGGCTTCCTGTATGTTCCAGGATCGGTTTTAAGGTTCTTTTAAATGGTTTTTAAATGTCTTAATGGTCTTGGACCTTCTTATCTCTCAGAACTGCTTCTTAAATACGAGCCTTCACGGCCCCTGCGCTCCTCTGGCAGCCATCTGCAGAGTACAGACGCTTCTGCTTTTGCTCCCTTATCTTCTTTTCCCAAGGCTCCTTGTCCTGTCTGCCTACAGCGAGCTTCTCTGCATTTCTTCTGAAAAACCCTATTTTTTAGAATGGATTTAATTAATTGGTCATTCAACGCGATTGACAAGATTATTTCTACGATGAGAACGGAGGAGGGGGCTCCCACTTGCCCGCAAGGGACACACGCAGCGGGATATATGCTCGATTCCTGGAGGGAGTGGAAGATCGTATGCCTCTCTCAGTTGTCCATTGAGGATGTCGAAGATGTGTGGATATTTGGCCTGATGATCACTGGATTTCTTCTGATTGGAGTGGGAGGATATCTGGTTTTCTGGAAATTTGGGAAGACGGGAGAGATTGGAGGGCGACCCGCACCCACGGAAAGCACCGTCCGTGTGGAGACCTCACAGACTGGGACGTTACTCGAGGTGAATCGTAAGCTGGACAATGTCCTAGCTGCGATACCGGTATTAGTGCGCAAAATGGATGTCATCTCGGAGAGGGTCACTGGACGGTGTGGAGATGTTTAAAACCTGAATTGGCTTCACTGAAGGACTTGAATCATCAGTTACAGACTTCAAGGCAGAGAGGAAAATTATCTCTGCCTGACCCAAACAAAGTCTTGTTATCCGAATCTGACGCCATGGCAGCCTTGTGAATGCCAACAACAAACCCCCCACGAAGGAATGCAGACAGATGCTGTGAAAACCCAACCTACCCCCTCGCCTTCGGATTGGTGGACTTCAGCCTGGCGAGGTCATCAACCTGCAGGTGCCAATGTGCTCTGTGCTCCTCCCAAGATCTCCCCTCCACCTGTGGCTACAGTGGCTGAGCGCCATAGGGCTGCTCTCGCTGGAGAAACAGGATCCAAGCCCCCCCCCCCTTCCTCTCGGTGTCTCATGTTGTGAACTGTTGATGTTCGTGTTTATTTTTTTTGCATAGTAAAGCTACACCCTGCCAGGAGTAACTCTGGTATGCCTTTTTTTTCCCTCCCCCAATTTATCCTCATGTGATCCCCTTTTCATCGAATTAACGGTAACGCGACTCTTGTTACGAATGACCACAGTACCAATTCTTCTGCACTGAAACAATTGCCCCTCGGGGATGATTAAAGTTTTTTTGAATTTGAATTGAATTGAATTGAATCTCCTTGTCATTCCAAAAATCAGGACACACTCCCAAGGTGAGGCATCCTTCCAGTTTTATGGCCCTCACCTCTGGAACACTCTGCCAGAGGACCTCAGGGCCGTAGAGAGTGTTCTTGTTTTTAAGGCCAGGCTCAAGACTCACATTTTTAGTAAAGCTTATAGCTGATTTTGATCTATTTTAGCCAGTTTTACCATTTTATATATTTTATCAGTGTTGTATTACTTACTCTTTCTCTTAAATAACACATATTTATGAGCTGCATGGTGGCGCAGTTGTTAGCACTGTTGTTTCGCAGCACGAAGGTTGCAGGTTTGAAACTCGGCTGCGGCTTTTCTGCGTGGAGTTGCGTGTTCTCCCCATGCATGCGTGGGTTTCCTCCGGGTACTCCGGTTTCCCCCACACATCACAACATGCCCTATAGGTTATAAATTGTAAGTCGCTTTGGATAAAAGCGTCTGCTAAATAAATAAACATAAACATCTAACCCTAACCCTAACTCACAACTTTCTCTTACTACAGGTATGATCTTATGGAAATCACCTTGGTCCTCATCAAGAGACATCATCAAAGTATCTTGTAGCTGGATGTCAGAGTCCTTTTGTGCTTGGGACCTACTGGCAGCACATGCATGATTTTTTCACTATCATTCAGATTCTCCACAGATGGCTGAGCTACTACTTCTAAAGGTTGGTTTATACTTGACGCATCCGCGAGGTCCGCACGGCTCCGCGCGGTGAAATTACGTCATTTTAACAACCACACCCCTCCACCGCGCCTCCACACGGCCCAAAATTTCCGCACCGCGCACCTAGGAAATTTTCTAACCACCGGGACGGTCAGACGCGGAAAAACATGGCGGACCGGCAAGAACTAGTATGGCAGAGGTTGGTAAATACAGACATTTGTATGATTCAGCTCTCAGAGATCACCGTGATCAACATGTTGTAAATAATTCTTGGAGAGAAATAGCTCGCACTGTCGGAAAAGACGAGAACGCTGTTAAAAATGCTGGAATGCCATGTTGCAAACAGTAATTTTTACTTCTACTATGGTGTAGTGTTGGATGCATGCCGTAGAGCTCCATGCTGCCCCCTACAGTTTGGGGGAATATTGCCTCACCGCAGAGACAAGCTGCATGAACCATAAACGCTGCGAGTTGTGAAGCGCGTTCCATCCGCGAGCCGCATCACCGCGCGGAAAGTGAATGCGTCAAGCATAAACCAAGCTTAAAGCGGGGGTGACTTTGCCTCCAGCTATAACGTTTCCAAGTAGCATGTCAATATCGTCTATGGGAAGTTTGTCACGGATGGCTAAAATAACCTCTAACCATAGGATAGTCCACACAAACACCATGACCAGGGTAAGGCAACACACCCATCTCTATACCTTGCAATAAAACAGAATAGCCACACGAGCTGTCAGCTGATGAAGGTAGAGCCTTCTCAAGCAGCAGAGACTGGGAGGCGTCAGTGCCCCTTCAGTTGCAGATGTTCTGCTCATCTACAGCCCCCCCTCCAAGGATGTATTTCCTGTAAACAGCAAAGTTAAAACAAGTGTTCAGACGTTTCTCCTCACTGTCCTCCACCTTTGCAGAAGATAACAAAAGCAACCTCATGCCTAGGAGACGATGGCTTCCCATTGTTTTTTTAAGCCAAAAACATTTCTTGAGCACATGTCCTCTTCTGTGACAGTAAAAACATTCTGGTGAGTCAGAGCTCATTTTTCTGCCACTTAATTAGCATTGAAGCAAAAGAGGCCACATCCCACACGGCCACAGAAGCGTCTCCATTAACCGCTCAAAGCCACAAAGTAGCTATCAGTCTCTCTTAATACAGGCATAATAGGAATGCACTTACTAATGTCAAAACTCGAGGGGGCAGGAGTGGATGAGGTCTTAGTAGATTTAAACTCGTTGGCTGTTTGCTCAGCCTTGGCCTCCAACT